CGGGAAACAGCGAGAGGCATGTGTGGAGTAAAAGCTCATTAAGTATGAGCGAACCGTAGTTTTATCATTAATTTATTGTCATTCTTTAAATATTTTTCTCTCTAATTTCAAAGTCAACGTGAAGGTATTTATGCAGCTACGAAGATGAATGCAGATGCAGATGTTGAGATTGAGAGAGGATACAAGAGTGAAAATGTCATTTCCATAAATTGAGAAAGTTGAAGATTTTTTTTTGTGGATGTTGAAATTGGATTGTATTTTGGTCTAGAACAGTGTTGTCCAAAGTTTTTGAGCCAGCACACCTTAGCACAAAGCATGCGGCTCGCGTCATTCCCAAAAAATTTCTACGGCACACCAGTGTACCGCGGAACACAGTTTGAACACCACTGGTCTAGAACTTTCAACATTTAATTGTAACGCCTTAATGACGTAACAAAGGCATCTTAAGAGGACTCAAAGTCATGGTCGATCCCCTTTTTCACGCTTTTGAGAGCCTTTATTGTCATAATATATCCCAAAACCCCCACAAATCTACAGAATCTTGATTAAACCAATCTTAAATCAAGTTTTTGTTAAGATTCTACACCATAAATCCTCATTGCAATCTCCAGCAAGTTCAATCCATAAGAAAAATCACCACAATCTCAAAACCGCATCGTAATCAATAATTGATGCATTTTACATTCCCAACTGTTTTCTAACACTTTACATATCACCGTAACTCAAATTAGTCATTAAAAACACGATAGCTATCATGTCGCATATCAAAAAAATAAATTACATGCATCTCAAGCGCATGTAAATGTTAAATGATGAGAAAATCATATTCTTATGCATTACTATTAAATTACATATCATTGATACTCATTGTACTGTCATAACGTGTAATAAAAGTGAGTAACGTTGTGCGTTGAAAAAGCTCATCGATTGTGGAATAATGAAAATGAAAATTTATTTTTTTTTACACTTTCACCACAATTGCAGACACAGTATGGATGAAGAAGAAGATTGTGGAGAAGTGAGAGAGAAATGGCAGAAAAATATATACAATATTTGCAAGTCTTTGACCGAATGCATGCGTTCATATAAAAAAAAATTAATACGGGAAATTGTTGGTTATGGTGCCTTTTCGTGGGTTTAACAGAACACGATTAGAAATGTGAGGTGAATGATAAGTGGAAAAAATCATGTTAAAAATTTTTTTTTGTGTGAAACTCTTTTTTTGAGTTGAGATTTCTAATGTGATTAAGTCTATTGATGGTTGAGTTATGGGAGGAAATGAGATATTCTCTGGTTGATTATAGACTTTGTTATTGAGGAGTTGTTTGATGTACTTGAATTTTTAAAAATATGTGATGAGATTGGCATTTAATATTTGGAATTTATAGGATTTTTTTTGAGAGTACCGGGGATGATTTGATATTATGCTGACTCAGACGCGTAGCCAGGTTCAAAACGTTTAAAGGGGGCACAAGACCCTCCTGGCTATGCGCCTGTGCAGACTTAAATGCTATGATCTTATTGGCAACCATCAAGAACTGACTTGATAATACAGAATTTTGATAATGAGTCACTTTAAAGTGACTCCTTTCCATCATCTTATTTCATCAGTCACTAGTGGCACTTAAAACTGGTTCCAAAATATTAACAGAACAATGAATAATCCCACAATAGTATGTCACGGATCTACGTGCCACTTCTGATACATAATCCTTAGTTTTTCAGTCAGAAAATAGTAGATTCAACAACAAAATATTTTAAACAAGCTAGGAGCTAGAAATATTTGCTGAAATAACCCTAGCAGGTTAGGTTTAGATCCCCTTAGCTACGACTCTGAACTCAAATCTAGCCTAAAGCTACCTAAAGTATCAAAAATATTTTAATCCATTTTTTGAAAGTTTATCACCAAATCATATATTTTAGATCAATTAGCTCCTCACAGAAGCTAGGACACGTTCACTAAAGTCTCTTGCTACACTCAGGGTTTAAAACTTTTAGTTAAATCCAGACCCTCCAAGCTACGACCCTTTGCAATGCTCCTGTAAATTCTTATACACGCCCCTGCATCTACTCATAACATTCTAAAGCAGTGTTGTTGAAACTATGTGCTGCGGCACACTAGTGTGTGAAGTTTTTTGAAATTACACAAATCATGTGAGCTGAAGTGGCTCGGTGGCGAAATGGTTTAGTACTTCGGTACCTAATTATTGCAATACCGACACAGCGATCATGGGTTCAGTACTGGGCATGAGAAATTTTTTACTAGTCTTTTTTCGAATCATATGAACTGAAAATGAGGTTCACAGCCTTTCTTTGTATGCTACAGGCAGAAATTTCATCAAAGGAGTGGTTCGGATCCCACTATAAATTGTAGGTCTAGGTTTGAGTGCAGTGGTTTGGCGCATCCTCACTCTCATTAGCTGCCAATAGCCCTAGCGCACCTCTGAATCACAATTGATCTGAATGGGTAAAGGTTTTTTTTATAACACAAATCGCATGTTGTGTCTGACTTTGGTCTTGGCTAAGGTGGGGCTAAGGTGTGTCGTGGCCCTGGTCGTGGCTTAAAAACTTTGCACAACACTGTTCTAAATCAATCATCCCACATCTGTCTTTATCTCACTGCAAAACACATCCATCAACAAACTAGAATTAATTCTCAATAGAATTCATCGACTGGCGCCAAAGTTGCTACACTTGTCATGTTTTCTTTACTGTCAAAATATTTTCTATATTTTGTGTCCAACTCTTTTGTCACATTTCTCTTTTTTATTTTATTTGCAAAAATTCCATCGAATTTTATCGTCTAAACTAGTTTGACGTCTTTCATTTTTTTAAGAAAACAAAAAAAAATATTTATTCATAATTGACTGCTTAAAAAAATATTCCGTCCATATGTAAATTAATAAAAGGCAGGCAGCAATGCGCTCACTTTCTTCAATGAATATTTTTTTTTTTTGAGTTGTTTTCTCTCAATTTTCATTTCGATGCCTTTTGCTCAATGAAAAGGAATTTGTGTCAAATGTGAATGTACCAAAAAGCAGCATACAGTATAGAAGATTGAGATGTGTGAACATATATCGAGAGAAAATATACAAAAATATTGCATTGTTACCTTTTTATATGAACAAAAAATAATGTTGCAGCGCAAGGTTAATTGCTTATTCGATATTTGCTTGTTAATTCAATTTCACACACTTATGGGAACTTCACTTTAATTTGCTTTTAAAAAATTTATTTATTTTTTTTTGCTTAAAAAAATATTTTTTTGTCACACAAATTTCACAATTCTTTATCAGCCCTTAAATCTGCACAGAAATTGTCACGTCATCGCTTTTAAAGATGGCTACACACCTTCTTTTCTTTGATATTCTGAATATAAATTTATTTTATTGCCTACACAACAATCTTTTGTGTGGATTATTTTTTTATTATTTTTCTGGAAGAATTCTGCGGTGCACACACAACAAAAACTTTTTCTTTTCTTTTATGAAAAAAAATTATTTAAGAAAATTTTACTAAACGATAAACTACAAAAAAATTCAACCGATCGCGACGAAATCTAAAAGTAAACTCAACTCAAAAATGGAAATGAAATTTCTTCTTGCAAGAAGTAACAAACAGCGAAACGAGAATAAAAATGAGAAATTTGTGTTGTTGTTGTTGTGGTGAGCGATCGAACGAAAGAAGAAATGAAAGGAAATACCAAAAGGTAGAGAGTAAGGGATTGCTGATTGGAGTTGTTGAGTGGATAGAGCGCATGTTAAGTTGTTATCTGAATATTTCGTTGAATTGAAGGTTTTAAAGTTTTCTCATTAGTTTTTGAAAAAATAAGCATTAGGTTTTCTCACATTGGTTGAATTAAGAGATTTATGAGATTAAGGTGATGAGCACATGCCAAACAAAAACTTTCAAGAAGTTTGACCACTTAAGGTCTAGTTTAAATCTTTTTCTAGCATATTTCTCACTCTTTAATAGTTTTGTGAATTTTACTTGCAAACTTTAATTCCGAATAAAGATCTGGACATCCTCGGACCCCTTCGGCTCCTAAATCGCTTGTCATCCAGCAGGGAGAATGTTAATAAGTTTTTATAAACAAGTTATTTTCAAGCAGTTAAATGCCTTGCTGGTCGAATAGGTAAAGAACTTAGCTCAAATTTGGAATGGTAACTCCAAGGTCGTCGGTTCGAAACCAGCAATTTCTAAATTTGTTCTTTTTTGGAAGTTAAGATGCTTCTCCTGCTTAATGTACGAGATCAATCCATAATTGGGCATTTGAGTAATGTTGGATCAGGGGCGTAGCCAGGAATTTGAAGACAGGGGGTACAAAAAAATCTTTATGATTTTTACCCCCCCCCCTGATTACGCGCCTGCATATGATTAAAGATTGGTCCAGGAACTTGAAGTGTAGCGGAAAACATAGGAACATGAGCTACAAGATTACCAACGAATGGAATATTGTCAGAATGGACCTGTTATGTAACACGTCACGCCCCCAGAAGATTGGAAAGAGAGCCTTAATTTATATGAAATGCTGGATATTAATACTTTGCATGTGCTGCCCCGTTTGATATACTGCCTTTAAAACAGTGAATTGTGTTGCATGAAGCCGGTTTGACCTTCCATCCAACTCGAGTAGATACTTGACACTAATGTGTTGTAAATAACTAAGCCGAAAATTTCACGAATCTAAACGATTTCGATCTCTGATAACAAGTACTGCGGCGTCAAGTGACCATATAGGAAAATCAAATCATATTAGTTGACCGCCCCAAAAAAAAAATCTACCAGCTAGACAAAATGCACACCAAAACCCCTCCGTCATTGCCAAAAAACGACTCCAATAACAGAGTAAATATATAAAAAGTATGAGCAAAAGAGAGAATAACAATTGAAATAAAACTTGTTGAATTCTCTCACACATAAACAAATAAATCTACAGGTGTATGTGAGAATGTACAGTCAGCGGTCATAAAATTACAGGTAGTAGAAAAATAACTCACCGGGTACGATTTCGCCGTTGAAAGTAATTTGAACAGTATGAATTCCTGTTTCATGAGGAGTAAAGCTAGCTACAAATCGTTGTCCACCAAGAGCTCGAACACTAGAAGTCACACGACCGCCATTAACGAGAATTTCGAGATTTCCTGAGCCTGCACGCGAGCCATCAACTGCAAATTATAAGTAATTAGCAACTGCATTTCCCTTTCACTAATCATTAGTTAATCATCCTTACTTTCAAACTCAAATGGCTGCCCCAAATATCCATCAGGCTTATTACTAACACGAATCGATTGTGCACCTTCAACATCTTCATCAATTGGCATGAATTTTGTTGCTGATGATGAATATCCGTAGTCATTTGAACTGGTTTTCGTAACATATTTCTCATTGCGTTCTTTATATAACGAGTCTGATAATGCAAACTTATTAAACTGTGTATTTGTATGCGTCTCAGTGTCAACAGCTGATCTGTCATATGACAAATTTGTGTTGAGTTGTTCTTCCGTCAATTTTGCCAATGATTCAAGTGAATTATTCGAAAACATATGCTTGGTCTTATTCAATACATCCCAACTATCTCTCCGTCCTGCTCCAACTTTAACCGGCGAAATATTTGATGAATAATCAATTCCTTCCGCAGACGTCGTCTTAATTTGCGGAACTGGACTAGCATTTTGATTGATCGTTGATCGATACGTATGTTGTGTAACGCGATATGTCTCTGAATTAAGTTTAGATGCAGAATTTGATACTGACGATGTAGACGTGTTCAACAATGTACGAACCGGAGATTCACTTGTCAAACGTGGTGATGGCGATGATGCAAAATTTCTCGGACTAGTTGCTCGTCTTTCGTAACTTGTGTTGACTGTCAGGGGACTTCGGACGATTGGACTTGATCGCATCTACAATTGGAATTGGAAGAATGTTAATATTATGTTTTATGTGGATTAGGAACTGTGCAGTCAGTAGTATAGCAAAGGGTTTTGACTTTTTACTTGACTTAATTAATAAAGGATTTGTGTTCTGGAGTCTGCTAGGTTAGGTATGACTCCCCTAATGTCGATATAGTCAAATATAATTGAATCTGGCTCTGTCTTAAGCTAATGTCAGTCTAGTGTCTCTATTTTGTAACTATTCTCAACTGTGTCCCATTCAGGTACCCAAAAATCAAGCACATAATGTACTAAACCCGTTTATTTAGACTAAAGGACTGAGCTACAATTACGCCATTTCATCAAACAGAATATCAACAAACAAACCCGCTATCCATTAGACTATGCAAATCAACCCGTCAAAGTGTCAAAACAGTCAGTATTCTAGCCAGCCATTGACATCAAACTGATACTCAATAAAACAGTTCTACATGCAAATTAACAAATCGACTGTCCAAAAATATCTCAAATGGAACTTACATTTATGGGACTTGACATGAGCGTGGGCGAATCACTTTTTCTTCCATAAGTGTTGTCGTTCTTCAATTTTGAGTAAAATGATGTGCTGTATAATCCCTCATCTTTCGTTAGATTCGTCTTTGATACATTTTTTCTCGAATAAGTATCAGTTACATCTCGACTTCCATAATCCAGCGATGGACTCTGACTCTTTCTTATTTCCTTACGAAATTCACTTTTGAATACTGTCGAGTATCCGTGTTGCTGATCATCAACTAATTTTGGACTATATAAATCTCTTCCAGGCGATCCAAGACGCGTGGGTGATGTTAATCTTGGCGATGAATAAATTTCCTTGCTTGTTTTTATTTCATAGCGATCTTCACCATACGATGGTGACAATTGTGGTTTTGACTTGACTTCATACCGTTCCTCATTATATGTTGGTGATAATTGTGGTGAATATGAGCCAGATTTTCGAGCATTTTGTGGAGAGTAAAGTTCACGTCTGACATGTTCATTCTTCAACATTGATGTATTGAAATGCATTGATGGACTTTCTGAACGATATCTTGCACTTTCATGGCTAGGACTGCTTCTGGTCTTTCCAGATCGTCCTTTTGTACCGACTCTCATAATAAATGGTGATCCTCTCACATCATATCCATTAAAATAGACATAAACACGATGCTTTCCATTCTGTCTTGGCATAAAAGTGACTCGGAATTTATTCTCAAGCAGTTTCTCAACAGCACAGACAACTGAATGTTTTTCACACACAATATCAACATGAAGTTCACCACTGACACCGACACCTCGCGCATCAATCTCAAAAGCATGTGCTTTAAATGGCATGGCACCGTCCAATCCATGTACAGAGACACCACTTGGATCAAATACTGAACAAGTGTATGGACTTCCTTGAATGTGACTTCCTTGATATGTGATTGCAATTTCCCAAATTCCAGCTTCGTCTGGTTTAAATATGGCACTATGTCCTTCATCTACTTTCTTTAAAGGACACTTTAGAGGACGACCGGATGGGGAATATGCAGTAACAAGAATATCTTCTGATCTTGGAGCACCTGTAGCATTTACAAGAACTTCAACTAAACTTCCTAATGCACATGGTGCCATTCCTGGTGGCTTGACTTGAATTAATCGAGGCATGACTCGGAAAAAATGACCACCAAGTCGATCATCTCCAATTTCAATAAGAATCTCATGCATGCCATAAATATCAGGTATAAAAGTTCCTTCACCATGCTGATTCAATTTAATTAATGTAGCGACTCCTTTGTCATGTGGAGCGACAACATAAACTTTCATTTTTGATGGATCAACATCCTTTGCCAAAACTTCTATTCTAAAATAAGTTGGTTCCGCTACACGTCCACTAGTACTTTGTAGATGTACAGCAACCATATCAGCTAATGGCGGTCTCGGTGTTACCCATTGGAAGTGTGTTGCATATGCCATTATAGCTAGATGCTCAACTTCTGGACTTGTCATATCTTTTGGTGACATTACGGGCTTAATGCCAAATCTATTGCCGGCATCTACTGCTTTTCTCATGTTACTCTCCCACATTGCTGGATCACTGCTCATTTTTTCTGGTGCTGGGGCATTGCCACCGAGACCTTTGATGATTTCACAAAATACGCGACCATCATTCCAGTCGGTCTACAATTAAATGATAAGTTTTGGTTATTTCTGATGTTATTGAGGCTTTAAACAAGCTTAGAAGAATTTAAAATGGTAGGACTTACCGTAAAGTTGTGAACTGGCACTTTAATTTGACTATTAACCCATCGTTTGGTTGCATTGTATCCTGGACCATCAGTTTTCATGAAATAAGATAAATAAGTCATTCCTGAGAGCTCATCAAGCCATGGTGATGCAAGATATTCAGGTTCTAAAACTTTTGGTACACCAAATTCACGATGAGCAAGATTCATGGCATTTTCACAATTTCTGACTGCTTGATTTGGATCAAGTGAACGCCAGTGAGGAAAGAGACCTGAAAACGAACATTGATTGACATAAGTATGAAACAAAATTATTGCAGTCAGTGATACATACCAGGCTCACAATAATCCAATAATGCTGACAGTAAAACTCCACTATTCCAATCTGTTGTAAGATTCGTAACACGACATTCTGGCAAAGCAGCTTGTAGCCATGCCAACATTAATTTTCTTGGCGGGAATTTACTTCGTCCAATTTGATATCGTACAATTAATGACCATATGAGGCCGAGAATCAGCTTAAGATTGCCATTTATGATATCAACATTACCAATATTGACCAATTTTATGTGATCGGCTTCGATTGCATTTAATGCAGTTGTGGCATTTTCTAAGTAATGATGTTGGTTTTGCGGTCTTTTATTCCATGACGGCTTTAATTTTCGTTTCTGTAAATGCTCAACTAAGGCACAGAGAGCTGTTCCATCGCAGAAATCGACTGATAGATCAGTTACCTAATTGATGAGAGGAGGAATTGAGATAATTAGAATTTTATGGTGATTTTGTGGGGATTGTGGGGGGTTGGTGTTTTTGGCGGGAAATTAGATAGAATTTTTTTGAAGGCTTTAAGCATTTGTGTCCACATTGTACTCCGAAATTTGATGAAATTAATTTTAAATTTTTTTTCTTCATTTTTTAAATTTTTTCTATTTTATATTTTTCACTTTTTTCAAATTTTTAAACCTTTTTTTGATTTTTTTCTATTTTTTATATTTTTAATTTTTTAAATGTTTTAATTTTTTTAAGTTTTCAATTTTTTAAATTTTCAATTTTTTAAATTTTCAATTTTTTAAACTTTCAATTTTTCAAACTTTCAATTTTTTTAAGTTTTCAATTTTTTTAAATTTTCAATTTTTTGATTATTTTTACAAAACATTCAAAAAATTCTAATAAAATTCAAACAACATTCCGCACAAGGATTTCCTCCCATAAAATTAATATCTAGAGAAAATAAAGTCAATCTCAATCAATTCAATCACGATTGCATATTAGAATCTATATTTGAGTATCGCAGCTTGCTCGATACATTTTTGAAGGTGGAATATATTTTTTTTTGTTGTGTAGGTTTTCTTATTTTCTCACTCACTTCCAACTGCCATTAACCTTGACTCACTCTGTGCTTGTTATTTGGCGATTTTTTTTTTGCTCAGCTGCTGGAGCCGTGTCGATGTTTTTTGTGTAGATTAATTAATTTTTTGGGGTTTTTAATTAAGCTTTGAGTTTAGTAGTTTTAAGCTTAATTTGGTGGATTTTGTCATTTTAATTCATGGAAGTTGCAAGATTAAGACTGAAATGTTGACACTTATTTCTATAACTTGACTCTGAGTGGACATATGCTACATTTTATGAAGGATCTTGACTATTTTCGTATATATTTGATATCATTAATTTAATATATCTTTAATCTAGCTACTAAAATCATAAAACTTACAAAACTGATCATCTGGTATGAAAAATAGCAACAATCAAAACGAAATCTGCTTCAACAATTCTGTTTTCAAAGCTATTATAGATCAGCTGCCAATAAAATTACTAAAACCCATTCGCGAATATTTTCCACCCACAAGATAGACAAATTCTAGCAAATCAAGTATGCCACACGATAATTTTCTCACGACATTTCCAGTTATTTTTAGGTTATGATACAAAAGTTATGTCATTTTGCTTTTATGAATGAATATGTGCTAATTGTTTTTAATGAATTCTGTAAATATCCTGGTAAATATGAATTAGTTGAGTATTTTAAAATTTAATTGATTACTAATAAAGAGTCTAGGGCCGTTCATTGATGACGTACAAAATTAATGGTCATTGTTCAAAATAGAACAAAAATCGTCCAGGAGTTTCTATTGTTATTTTCTTGGTGACCCCCTATGGACGTCAAAAGTGAATGACCCGTCATCAGCAATGATGATTGTCATAAAACGACGATTTGAGACTCTTTGAAAAGCATTGAAACTAGTCAATTTACTTTGGATCAATTATTCACCCTTATGCGTAGCAAAAAGGATCTGGATTCCCACCTTATAGAATTTTTAAGGGGGTCCAGACCCTCCTGGCTACACCCTTATCTTGGGATAAGCCTTAGATTTAAACTATCAATTTTATTTTATTCCAATCAAGGCGTGGAAACTCGGGACAAATCTTGAAAAATCCCAAAAATCCTTAAAAAATCCTTGAACCAATAAACATGGAAATGTGAAATCTCTTTAAATTCCCTGATGCATTTGATGAATAATTCCGGGATATAAAAGGGATTTCACATTTTCATGTTTGTTGGCTCAGGGATTCTTTAGGATTTTTGGGATTTTTCAGGATTAATCCTGAGTTTCCATGCCTTTATTCCAATTAATAAATGCATTTATAAACATTTCAACACAACAAACTCAAATCAGTTTCAAAACCTCAATATTCTCAGAACAAATCTAATTAATGACTCAAACGTGCCGGGCTAGCCTCTTTCATGATTTAATTCCCTTGTTTTTCGTAGAATTTTTTAATGTCAATTTTCGGTTGAATTTCAAACAATTCTTTAGCATTTCAATGCATCAATTCAGAGATTTTCATGAATTTTTAAAAAAAAATAGCACAGAAACTCAAATTTCCAAGAACACATTCAAGAATTCTGCTTACTAATATACTGGCACATAAAAATGATCTGTCGACTAATTCAATTTTTTTACTTTAATCTGCTCAGTTTTGAGTTCTTAAATATTTACTTTCAATAAATCTCTGAAATCTCAATTAGATTAGATGTTATTCATATAAAGATAGTCAAATAATATTCCCAAATCATCACATGTAGCTCTAATCTGTCCATCGGAACCAGAATTTTGTTTAAATTATCATTTTGTAATGCTAAATGATCAAATGTCTATAAAGCAGTTCTGATCTTATTAAATCAGCAATGAATAATATTTTCTTAATTGTAAGTAATCATCGTGTATTCAGCAGTAATGACTCAATTGAATTGAATGTCATGGAAATAACTTAAGTCATTAGTGTGCAAGCTATTATTATTATTTTGCACTAAAACGATTTATAAATACAGAAGAAGTTATAATGAAAGAATCAGACCGAGCAACACTGAATGTTTAGAATTATTCGTTATGTTGGGGATGCTCTGTAGTTTTGATTGGACCAAATGATGTCAAAATGTGGTTTGTAGATTTGACTTGAAATGTTTATGACTTGACCAAGCTACAGAAGGACCTCAAAATGATGCTTAAATGGAAATTCAATCTTAATTTTCTGAATACTCATTAAAAGCGTAGCCAAGAAGTAACACTTTGTCCTCAAATCATCTTCCTGGATGCTCGCCTGATGCTTAAACTTCAAACAATCTCAAATCCCCTCTAAAATCATGTGTTACTCGGTACTAATAAATTATTTATAACATTCAGAATTCGTGTAAATTAGGTCATAATAAATATATTTGCATATAATTAAACAATGGACTTTAGTTGTCTGTGGAAATCATCAAATAACACCAGCACAGAGTCAGCTATGACAGAAAAATGCATTGTAATGATGCAGAGTAGAGAATTCATGGTTTTGATCTTTAAAATACTTTTAAAAATTTGTTTCATAAGTTTAAGGAGGATTTTGCAGAAACTCTTTTTAAGGATGACAACTAAGAGCCTAGATCAAGCCAAACTTGACACCAAACCCCCTAAAACAGTGTTGTCCAAACATTTTGAGCCACGGTACACATTAATGGTAAACCATGATCAAAGTCGAACGCAGCATCCACCTCACGTCATTTCTACAGTTCACAAGTGTGCCGCGGCACACAGTTTGGACAACACTGGCTTAAAGCATGTCAAAACTCATGCAGCACCTAAAACCAACATATCATAAGAAATATACAGCAGCAAAAACACCAACCCTGCCTCATATCCAAATTCAAAAGAATTTTTAATAGAACCAATACTCACTTGATGTCCAACATCACGTAAATGTTCATTAACCCAATTTCTGAATGTATTTGCTTGTATTTCCACCCACAAATCCTCATTGCCGCGAATGTTCATTCCTTTTGCAGCCGTACCTTCTGGTGAGCGTGCAACTAATCCAGCTTGTGTAATTTTCTGCAACTCCGTTGTGCCATCCGTATTGTGTTGCAATAGTCCGGCATGTGTAATTCTTGCTCCTTTTGGTAAATCCATTTTTAACGTTAATTTATGATTTTTTTTGCACTTAATTGGAATTAATCGATCTGATCTATTAGCTTTCTTGGTATTAAAAAATTTATTTTATTTTTTTTTGTTCCACTCAAGTTCAATTTTCCACTATACACTAATTACAGTTCATCATTTGCTGCATCATCATAATTTTTATTACTTTTTTCTTCTTTTCTCATGTTTATTATTTAATTGCTGATTGCACTAAAGGTTGTGTGCGAGTTGCTCATAGCTGTTTTTTATTGGATGAAGAAAATGATGAAAAAATAGAAAGAAAAAAAAAACAAAGAATTTTTTTTAAGAGCGGCAAACAACACCACATATTGTGACTTCTTGTGTGCTGAAGACTTTAAAGAAGAGATTAAAAATTCCATTCAAGTCTCATGCGAGCAAAAAAACAACAACATTGAATATACACGACGAAAAAAAAAACATTCTTTCAAACCCAAATAGAACACGCCAGTGTGGATTTGGATTTAGAAAAAAAATTGTGGTGCAAGTAGTAAATGTGTTTTGTGGATTGAGCGCATTTTTTTGAATTTTAACATTTTTTGTAAAATTTGAAATGGCAAAAAATAGTTCTACTTGGATTTTTTAAACTATGGCAAGAACCCCCCCCATATTGATATTTTTTGTTACAACCACATAGCTAAACCTAGCCACGGTTGATCGAACTTTAAAAAAGCTGTATAATACCGACACTAGGAACCATAAACTATCTCAACTCATCCACATCCATCTTTATTTTTATTAATTTTCAATCACTTTCCCAACTAGTCAATCTCATCACAATCATAATCCCAGACAACCACAAGACACACAAAAAATCATCCAAATAGCTGCCAATCCATTCAATTCAAATTATCAATCACTAAGTCACTCGACCTGGAAATCGACATTCATTTATCCAATTAAAAATTGGATATGGGGTCGTTCATTTATGACGTCAGAAATTAACGGTCATTTTTTTAAAAAAGAACAATAGATTTCCAGGAATTTCTATTGTTTTTTCTTAGTGACCCTCCCCTCCCCCCTCCCCTCCCTGGACGTCAAAAGTGAACGACCCCAATTGAGTATGCCAGCTATCCAAAAAAAGCATTCTGCAAAAATCTCAATTCCAAAACATTCTTTCTTCTTGCTGTTATATCCAATCGTCAACACTAAGCTCAGTGATCACACTCTCGTCCACCTACACATGTATCAACACATATGTGGTTGTGTAATAATCAACAACATACCACATAGAATTCTATAAAGTGCTCGTTTTTTTGGCGGACAACGAAAATAAAAAAAAAAAAACAGGTTGGTTGTCTCTCGCGATGTTGTCGCACGTATTCAACTTTTGCTTTCAATCTCTTGTGTTGTTGTGTACACACAGCACAGAACCGTGAGCATTTAATGACGCAATTATTTTATTTTTAATATCACTTAAAATTCACTTAGAACTCTGTTTTGATGCTGTTAATTCTAACTGTATATCAATATTCATGCTCCAAAATATCTAAACTGACTATCAGAACATCACTCAACTTTTTTGTTTTTCTTTCATATTTTTAAAGTGTGTAAGGCAGAAGATGAGAATTAACACAAAAAATTGTTATTTTTAATATTTCAACAGCACTGAAGCGTTAAAAGAGCGATCATCACGCGAGCAATGGCAAAGCACAACTAAACTTTAGCATGAAAACTAAAGAGAGAGACTTTAATGACGGAATTGGAAGTAGCACCGCGAGGCAACAATGAAATTCTCTCTCTTACTTTTTCAATGTTAATAAATATGGAATTCATGAGGAATAATTGAACATTGACATGAGCGTGCGTATGATCATTTCTCGAGAAAAAAAAATAAAAATATAAAAGGTATATTCGTGCTTGCGAGGTGATGTCATTAATTGGAATTTGATCGGAAAGAAGTGAGATTTTTTACGAGGGCGAATATGTTTTTATTTTCTACGTATTGAGAATTACTTCTTTTGGTTATTTTGACTATATTTGGTAGGGCGTTTATAGCGCCGAATTTCTGACAAAATATTGTTGAATCAGACACGTTAGTTGTAGTTTGATTGAGGAAATTGGAAAGGATTGAGATTTGTAATTTCTTAGAAATTTTTTGGAAATAAAAAAATTGTTTTTTAATTAATTGGTTGCTCATAGAGTGTGGTTTCAGACTAGTAGGGAACAAGCTATTCATCCTTATAAAGATGAACCTGCCAACAAAGCAAATGTGAGAAAAAGTCCTCTATAGACGACAGATTAGTCAACATACTCAATTTTTGATAAGACATAAGTTCGATTCCTACCAAAAGCTGATCTTATCAATAATTCCAAATAATGTTGGCAGTTATTATTATTATTTATTATTATTATTATTTTATTGTTCGTTCCTCCATTCATTCATTCAAAGGAAAAAGCCTCCTTATCCAGTACTTAAACTGGATAAAAAGGCATAAAAAACCTTTGAATTCTTACAGAGAATTATATATATAGAATTATAAATATGTGGGCTCCTCTAGCCACACATTATGCTTAAAGAGTTTCAACGCAATTATATTGCCTTTAACAAATCTCTAACAAAAATTAAATTTTAAAACAAAACTCGTTAAATAACGTTTTCTCAATATTTGAAAAATGATCTGCTCGTTTTCAGTTGTTCTACTTTCATTTCATCCTCTCGGTAAAAATATTCTATCCTCTCAGTATAAACTTGTGTTTGTAAACAAATTGTGCTTAAATGAAAAATAGTTTGTTGCAGTTCTGAGCCTCGATGGATCTCTTTGGCTATGATTGTAATTTGTTAAGCCATTATAAAGAGTTTGGAATGGTTTCTAGGAATTAATTGAGATGCGCTTCTCTAAAACCAAATACATTTTCTAGGCTATCATCAAAAAATTCTGTTTCTAGGTTAGAATGCTTAAGGAGCTAAAGAAACCGTAGACTAAATCACATCCAATAAAAAGTCCATTCATCTAGAGCAGAGTTTTGATTTGTCATTTGCTGTCAACATCTGCGTCATGTGCAGGCAATGCCTGTTGACAGGCATAGTCTGTAACAGATCTGTGCCTATTGACAAATGACCTGTCGTGCAACTCTGAACTAAATCATGGAAGTAATTTAACATCTTCCTATTTAATATACATCATTTATAGCTGACCCTGCCAACACTCTCATCCAAATCGACTTTAAATGTTACTATTCTCAAAAATAAATCACCAAACTTCTCACAACATCAGCAATATTTTGCAACAGTGTCTCTATTCCGTAACAAGTTCCACTTAAAATTATGTCAGTTTAACTTTAAATCAACATTTCCCTCTTCTTATAATAATCATCATTTTCCGTGGCAAAGCAAAAAAAAAACTTTAAAACTGTTTATTCTTTTGAGCTAAAATGTTAAAAAAGATGAATTGTTGTGATTGAATTACTTCACACTTTATTGAATTGCAGAAAAAAACTGTTGTTTTTATTATAATTTGTGAATGTACTGAAGATGAATTTTGGGGTAGAGTTGATCAAAAAGTTATTAATAATTATATTAAAAACTAAGAGGAGCTGTGAGTTGAGTAGATTTTTGATGAATTTTATATTAAAAGTTGTAGTCGACTAAGCTTGACTTTATACAAAATTCAAGTCGACTTTGATGTTCTGGATATCCCATGAGGTCGTTTAATTGTATTCAAGGGTACGGAACAGATAAATAAGATTTTGATCAATTTTGTTCATTTTTAAAAAATTTTGGTCATTTTGATCAGTTCCACGCCATTGGTTGTATTCGATTGAGATTACTTTCTGTATGTCAGTGATGAACAACCCGTGTGCCGCGGCACACTCATGTGCTGTGAAAATATTAATATATTTTTATAAATCGAATGTTGTGTGTGATTTTGGGCATGGCTTACCACAAAGTGTGTCGTGGCATAAAAAAGGTTGGGCACCACTGATCTAAATAATGAACATCATCAGTGAATGTCCTACAAGTTATTCCACTGCAAATTCTATAATAAATAATTCTAGTCAACAAAACCACAAAGTCTGCGGTCAATAAACCTGTCTGGATAATGACAATAACACAACTTATAATTTATGTCTATGATCATGTCAATTAACCCTCGAATCTTTGCATATTTTTCATTCATCATTGTTTGTTTTTTAATAATGGATGTTCAAATTTATTATTTTCTTGTCTATTCAAAAGAAAATATGAATGTCCCCAAAATGAGTCTCATTGAAGAATAAGAATCACTTTATTGCTTAGATCATACACATTCAGTAAAAGTCATCATGAACATGGTCATTAAAGTTGCTTTTTTCATCTGAATCTTTTGTTCAATTACAATGAACTTGACTGACTCATTTTCATTCGAAATAAAATATAAAAATCCACAATGTGCGATGGGAAAAAAATGAGGTTCGTGCCTCAGTCATTTATACATTGTGAATCTGATGTTGACCGTCTGTTGCTCTTTATTTATATATAGTTTTTTTTCTACAGTAAATGGGGGACATGTACAATCAAAATATGGACAACATGAAGGTGAAAAAAAATGAATTGACATTCATTCCTTTCAGTATGAAACTGTTGATGAATATTAAAATACCTAATATGGAAAATTTTAATTGTAAACACAATTTATTTTATTCATGCATATTTGAGGTCTTGCTGACGTAGTGAGAATTAATGAGAATGCGGATTGAGATAATTTCAATTTTTTTGGTGCTGTTCACTTATGACGTCCATCAATACCCCCCCCCCCCCCCCCCCTCTTTGTAACGTCCAATCCAAGATAGAAAAAAATTAAAATTTCCTGATTACAAAATTGGATGTCACAAATTTTCGACCCCCCTCTCTCCCCTGTAACAACATGTAACACATTTTTCGACCCTTTCCCCCCCCCCCCCCTAAATGTTAAACGACATAAGTGAAAGACCCCTGTGTTATTTTTAAACTAAATTGATTTCAGGGTCCATAATGGACAAACCCCCTACGT